AAGCCGGCAGCAGGCGTAGGCTAACAACTCCAGCTCTCTCCTTCAGCTCTGCAGGGTCCTGTCTGCATAGCGACTCTGTGATCCACCCCGGAATAATTCAAAGGCTGCAAGTGTAGCATCTAGCCTGAGAGAAACACTGACCCAGCCAGGTTTAGGAGACTGAGATTCTGCCTTGATCCCATTCTGAGCTGGCCTCTATAAAACACAGCACTGTTTGGATTTATGCAACTTTTTAGAAGTTATCATACTTTGTTGTCCATAAAAGTTATGAAGCCAACCAAAGAAGCACAAAATTACCTTAAAATAAAATTCTGAAAGTCCCTAAACAGGACCCTCTTTACCTTCTTGTTTCCCTTACTCCATCAACAGTAACAGACTCAATGCATCATTGTAGCTGTTGGAGAAGCTCGGTGGTGCAGGAATGGAGGACGCCTAGGGGGCTGGGGGATGCCAGGGACTTACGCTCTAGGTCTGGTCCAGCATCCTGTCCCTGGCCCCACCTTTCCTGTCCCCCTATCTTTCTCCCTACCTCTCCCACACACATACTCAAACAACTAGGTATTAACACACAGTAATCCACTTTATCTAGGGAAAAGATGTTCAGTTTAGTTTCACAAAATAATACAGTTATTAAACCTAGGGAAAATATATTTCTTGGAACCATTTGACTCCAGTTCCAAGCATGAAAGGGTTTTCAGTGGGAATTGGGAAGAAGACAGGGCAGAGAGGAAATTCTTCACTAAACACTGAGCACAGTAGAAGAGAGGTGACCCTGATCTATGGAAAGTCGAGACAAACATGAAAATGCCACTGAGCTGGGCAGGAGAGGGCTGCGAGGCGGCCAGCTAGAAGTGCTACCACGGCCAGTGGAAATCACTCCTCCTAAGGATTCATTCAGCAAGCAGTACGACCTACTTTAAGGACAATCAAAAATTCAGATTCACAACCACATTTTAGAAACACCCAAAAGCTTTTGTTCCATGTCTTTTACTAAATTAAGTTGCCTATAAAGACACAAAGACTTGCTCAATGACAAAACTGGTTAGTGCGGTTTTCGGGGACCAAGCTTCGATTTAACGCTCCTTTTGAGCCTCCAGCGGCTCCCTGGAGCACCCCATCAGGCACTCAGCTTCTCCTCTGCAAGCACAGGGCCAGCTATAGTAGGAGGCAACCTCATTCTCTGTGACTAACAGCTCCTGGGGCCAAGCAGGCACACCCAGGCTCCCACTCAGGGTGCAGGCGAGGCCTGAACCTGACAGAACTCTTTCTTGGGGCTGCTGCGCCCTACTTCTCACTCTACTGCACCTATGCGTCTGCTCGGTTCAGTATTTGGCAAGAACAGACGTCACATTTCCAGAATAAGCTAGGCTAGAGTGAGGGAACAGGGAGGCACGGGCACTCTGTGGAAACACTTCACGCTTGGGCTCCAGGAGTCACACTTGCTAAGTAGGTACCACTGAGTGACTAGAAAAAAACAAAAGTCACTTTAATGAAAGATGACTTTTAAAGTAATTAGGAGGGATGTTTTCCTAGGAGGAGTGCACAGTCATTAGGAACCCATGCGTATACCACCTTGGGAACATTCCCTGGTAGATATGTAATTACTTGGGAAAAAGTCTAGCCAGACACGATCAGAGTTTAGGAGGCAGACCCAAATGTAATTATGTCAAATACACAGTAAAAATTAGAAAAGTCCTAAAAAAGTGAATTAAAATATGTTCCTTTAGGACACATGTAAGATAGTATCTATAATCAGATTTTCCCAAAGGGAACTTCTCAAACAAAATGAGAAAATACGCAAAAGAAAGGGGAGAAAGCCTAGAAACAATGTCTGAAGGACAGTTCCCAAAAGATATAACTGAGTAAAAGTGTAGATTTTTTTAAAAGCCAAAAACCATCTTCTATTAATAAAAGCAACGAGAGCTGGAGACAGCTAGAGCTAGCACGGGTGCGCAGCACAACGTCAGAAGCCCACGTCCGGCCCGAGGGCGGGCTCAGCGGCCGCGCACCGGACGCGCACGAGGGTGGCCCTTGGTTTGCCGCCAGCGCGCACACGCTTCGGCCACAGCCCGCAAAGATAGACGATACACAGCATTGCTCTTGACTTCTTTCCTAAGGTACCAGAAGTACAAACCTGGCGCTCTATGATCATATTTAATTATTCAGACCCCACAGTAGATGCCACTTGGATTCTTTTAATTAATTTATGATTTGTTTCCATTAATGCCGCATCTTAATTGTAAACAGAACCGTGAGGGCAGATCTGTCCCTTTCCGAGATCACTTCCTGGGGTGTCCTTTGCCAGCTCTTATCCCTACTTGTTTGGCCTCCCATTGTACAGTTTTACAATGCTGATTACAAGGGGAATCTCCTGGGGAAGTGGAGCCCACATTCACGTCTACCTCATGGGGACACCTCACAAACAAGAGAAAATCGCCCCTTTATACAGACCCACCCAGAAGTCAGCCAGAAGGAGCAGGGATCTTCGGAAAGAGACTCGGTGCCTGAAAGTGCACCTAGAGTCTGCGGGACAGAGCCCAGCACGACTTTCTGTTGAGTAAACGACAGTTGTGAAAACCAAGCTTCACCTTTAAAAGCAACATGTTCTGACAAGCTCTTATTTTGTAATATTTTCCCTGATTTAAAAATTTTTACAGGACCTTGTCTCAAAAACCGAGCCAATGAATTTCCCCAGAGTATTTGATTTTTCAAAGATCTTTGAATAGATACATGATAGATGAAAACATTCCAAAATATTCAATGAATATGCCTTCCATGCATAGATAGCCAATTTCCCTCAATATTTATTACATTTGGGTAATAACTTGCATATTCTTCCAAGTTTTTTAAAGACAACAAAATTACCTGCCATATTAGCTGCTATAATTGTATTATACTCGTTCACATCAAATCTCTTTTGCAAATTCAGCTTAGGTATATATAACGTTGTCTTATTTGATACCACTTGATTTTACAGAAAAGCAGCAAAATGTTATATTGCTGTAAGGGAAATGCTTTCCCGTCCTCCATGGGCCACTTCAAAAGAGTGCCCAGCAGAGAGAAACCAGGTGGAGGAAGTGACCGTGAGAGCCTCGCTAAACACAAAACGAGCCCTACAAAAAAAAAGACAAGACAAAACTAATATAAAGTTTCCAGTGAGTGCTAGCCCCAAAACAATATTACCTCCTAAATTATGTCTGAATTATGTCTGTTTCACATCATTGAACGCGATGCCCCAAAGAAAACAGGCCAATGCTCGCCTAAGTACTCAGTTACCATGGTAACAATCTTCCCCTGCATGGGATAAATTTTCCAACTTTCCTGCCTGCCCTGACAGGTGTCCCCAGCTGGCACCCAGGACAGGCCCCTTGCTGTGGTCACCTTCTCCTGGGCACTGGGCAGCCAACCATAATGCTGCTCTCTCTCCTCACGACTTTCAACAGCACACATTAGTGGCACTGCCTATAATCTCGATGCTCTGAAGACTGAAGCGTGGGGCCTGCAAGCTTAGTCCAGCCCAGGCACGTAACTCACTCCGAAGGTCCAGGGTCCAGACTCTAGTACCACACATCCCCCAGAAGGAAAAAAAAATGGACAGACAGAAATTCGTAAGTGTTCATATATGGTCTCATGTTCCTTTCCATAGACCAGCAGAAAGGCACAGTACACTTGTCCAACCATCCTGCTTACGTACGTAGATAAATCTCTCTCCCCACTCCCTCTCCTGCCCTCCTCCTCAACTCAGCAACTCTTTCATTTTGAATGAGTTCCTTCCCTTTTCCCAGTGTCTACTGTCCATTAGTTATTTTCCTTTTAGGACTCATGCATTCTTGAGTTTTTCATCATTTTTTAAAAATTTGTCATTTTATAAAATACGACTATTTTGGTTCATAGAATACAAGGCACAATTTTAAAAATACTCCTGATTCAATTCAGTTAAGTAAATTAGAATTTCAACTCATTCAATAATATGTGGCCAACTATTATGTCTGATTCTATACTTAACTTTTAATAATGGGACTACACTGGCACTTTTTGTAACACACTGGTGCTCAAGATGTTAGCACGGCTAAAAAATCTAGCTATCGGGCTTCAGAAGGTTTGGGGATAAAATCACCTCACGCTTGCAAAGCCTGCACTTGACGTTCACTCAGCGTGCTGCGTCTCCCTAAACTGATGCTCAAGTTTTTAGCCACCTGTCATAGAAACTACACTGTCAGTGAGAGTTGAGATCCTACTGTTCCCATATTTCATAATTTCTGTGTTGGCATGGAAGAAAAGCTATTATGCACCTAAGTCCTCGTGAGATGAGAGTGTATACCACACAGTCTCCATCACTGTTACCACTCTATTTAGACAACATAATGTTTTGTCCAGACACCTTAAAAGTCTAAGCTAAGCGTGGGAGCTTTTGTGTTCTCCAGTGTCTTCCGTGATGCTGGCTACACGTAAAAACCACCAATGACTGATACTTTTGCAGTTTTATCTGAACTCTAAAGTAGGACTTGTGAGATTTAAAGGCAATAGGAATATTTGATAAAAGTATCAAGCCCCTCAAAAGCTAAATACCTACAGTCATTATTTTGTGAGTATTAAATCATAATGTTCTTTTATACTGTTTCCATATAATTCATAAAACAGATAAAGCTTGAGTTTATGTAAGCACATAAGCCAGAATTAGTCCTATTGAGAACAAAGAAAACTTTACCAAATCCACCTTTCAAGGAATAAGAAAACCTTCAGGGCTTTAAGTGTAGGAATGCATCAAATCATTTCAATCCAAGTCCACATGCTAACTAGCCCTCAGGTGCATTGCGAGGAGAGGGATCTCCCCGCCTGGAGCTGGGAGGGGCTGCCCCCTCTCACAACACATGTGGCATATGGGACGTCTGAGCCTCTGAGGAGCCCATAGGGATCTGTCCTAAAAGTAAGGGCCTGGCCCCCCCACAGAAGTTCTTTTACTAACACACACAACCGTTATGCCACACACTCTAGGTTACCTTTCTAGCTTCCTTGATCATCTTCCGAATAGTCTCCTTTACTGTCAGCAGCTGTGCCCTGGGTGGATGGAAGAGGAGTTCTATGTGGGTGCTCCCGAGGAGCCCAGGCATCACGTAGGGCCAGCCCAAATCAAGGTTGGGGGCTTCTGCTTCGGACTCCAGGGGCCAGTATGTCCCTGAAGACGAGTTGTCATTGCAGGAATGATCAGTTCCGTGCACCGTGCTCTGTGTGGGCTTCTGGGCATTTTTCAAAATATAATTAACTTCTTCCTCAGCTAAAAAGTCCGAAACTCGTTCTGCGGCAAGAAATTCTTGGTATGCTTCTAATCCGTGGTCGATGAGCGTGTCGACAGCTACCCGATACCACTCCTTGTAGTGAGGTTCAATGTAGTTGTCAGACTTAAAGTCATCATTCAGCGAGGACAGCATCGAGGAGGTCTCCATGCCTGTGGTGTCTGGTGGTGGCACTTTCAGATGTCCATGTACGCAGGGGAAAGGGGTACCTGGGTGTCCGGGAAGAAGAAAACCAAGGTCACTTAGGATCCTGCTGGCCAATGTTTCAGGACACATGCAAACGCTGCGACTACTCATTTGCATTAGTTAAGCCGCCCAAAGGGACTTATGTTCATATCCAAAATGATAACTGGACCATAATTCTTACATTCTCACAAATCAGTTAAACAGATTTCCTTTACAAACTGCTCTCTGATTTTTCTCTTTCAAGGTGTCTTTCTCCGCTTCTTTGCAACCTCTCCTCTCTGGCATCCTACAGCCCTCTCCTTAGTCAGGGGGGTGCACGGGGCCACACAAGGTTCTGGGAGCCTCTGAATTGCAGTGTTAAAATAGTCACAGAATACAGTGGACATGTGGCCAGCCACTAATCCAGTCTCTGTGAAAGGCTTGCAGTGCACACAGTAATACACTGCACAAAATGTAGAGAGCACAAAATATTTATCTAGCAGAGATTTACTAATAGGCTGAAATACGTGGCAAAACGAACATGTAAACTACTGTCACAAATCTTTTTAGTGCTAAGCTTCAAAATAAGTACATGCTCAACCTCACTAGTTAGTGGATGTACGAACTCAGTGCTTTAAGAATAAAAGTAAGATGCTCCACAGTCCAGACGGGATCCTAGCTTGCACTCCTCCGGCCTTAGCCTCCGGCGCACTGATCCTACAGGTCTGTTGCACCAAACTTGGATCATAACACTCACATTCAACACAGAAGCAAAGTTTCTATTCACTGGACTTAATCTGCATGCTTACAGCACAGTTTCCTGGCGTTTAGTGAGGTGCAGTTCTTTTCTCCAGTAGTGGGGGTTGAACCAGGATCTAGTGCCAGGCGACATCCTCTGCGCTTTCTGTTATTTTGAGAGGGGGCTTGGCTAAGTTGCTAAGTGCAGAGGCTGGGCCTGATCATGCGCGCCCGCTCCAGCATCAGACTGCGGGGATTCAAGCGTCTGCCGCCACACTGCTGGAGGCACGGATTCCGCTTGCCAACCCCAGTCCGTGCAAGGAAACGCATCCACAGAGGCCCCACGCAGCGTGGCTGTTAGCAGTGGCAACGATGGCTGCTCGCAACAAATCCAAGTTTTCTGAACATTGGTTTCTTTACAAATGTTTAAAATTTAAATTCAAATTTAACTTTGAATTCCTTTTACATGTGAGGTTAAATGCCGATTACCTATTTGAAGTTAAAATAGATAAAGTGCTTTTAAAATATATTTCTGAGCTTTATCTATACAAATACTAAAAACCCACAAAAAATTTATTCCCAAACTATGTACAAGCAGAAATCATACAGATCAAAATGCCTAAAAGAAGAAAATAAAATGATATCACATGAAGAGTTAATGAAGAGCTGAAACACTACAGGACTAATCAAATAGCTAATGCTAGATGTCACGCGGAAAAAAAACTAAAGAAAAATCCAACAGGCTTCTGCAACGAGTTAAGAGACTGTGTGCCAAAATTTAAAACCTCAGCTTTCCTGCTCTTGTCCTGTGGGAAGGCTGACACCCTGGCGCTGGCCGGAGACACGACATTGTCACAGAGGTTGCTTACCAGGGCGCTCATGGAGAGAAGAGCTACCAGCGTCCCTCCACAAAGCGGCTGCCACAAACGACTCCTGCCCTAGAAACGCTCTGCACTCAGCCGCAGGGAAAGCTGCATGCTCAAGAGAACACACAGGCTTCGCTGGAGGCCAAATTCATTTGACATTCATTTTTAACTTATAAAAGACAGCACTTCATTAATAACTTTTAACAAATACGAGAAATGCTATTTCAACATGGAGTAATGAACAGAGAAAATGAAATCTCATTATGATAGAAAAGCTAAGAATACTGGGCTCATCTACTAGAGACTCATCTTCCAAACAGCAGCTTTCAACACCCATGTTTCAGAACAATTATAGATTGTATTTGCTGTCAGATCTTTAGAGTCATTCTTGGCAAGTCGAATTTGCTACTCTGAAAAACTCTGGCAATTTAAGTTATAAAACCAAACATGAGACTAACATATATGACAGCATCCACACTGCTGGGATTTATCCAAGAAAAATTAAGAGGTCTTCTTTCAAACGCTTGTCCAGGAACAGCCCTCACCACTCACGCTGTGTCAGCCCTGTCCAGCAACCAGCACTTGGGCACCCGAGGTGGAAATGAGCTGGGCTGCTGACCCCTGCAAGCACCTGGGTGAACCCCTGACGCATTCTGCCGGACAAAGAAACACCCTGCTACTTCACCCCACTAGGCTCCTTCCTGAAGTCATGGAAGACAGAAGATCAGCAGTTATTAAGAGAAAGAAAGGTCATGAGATGCCGGAGTGGTGGCAGAAGGCCAGTAAGGGGGACATCTGATGCAAATGTGAGCATCTTCAGTGTCCCTGTCAACGTACTGGCTGCGGTTCAGAGTTATGAACCAGAGTTTTGGAAGATGAAGCCACTATGGGCATCAGGTAAAGAATGAAAGAGATCTTTCTGATTGTTTCACTCAACTGTGTGTAAATTTACAAAGATCTCAAAATACAGAGTTTAATTAAAATCCCGCTGGGGATTTCGCAGGCTTTGGACAGAAAAGAAAAAAAAAAAAATACACAGCACTGAGCATGAGAGCGCGTCTGTAGGGTCATAGTGTCAGAGTCAAACTCTTGCTAACTACCCTGATGCTCTTGGACCAGTTTGGGGACACGTAGCAAGAGGGTAAGAGTCTCGACCTCAGTGCGTTGCTCTCGGGAATGAGATAATGTACTCGAAGAACACAGCTTTCAACCACATCTTAGGAAGAGGAGGAGGAGGAAGAGGAAGAAGAAGAGGAAGAAGAGGAGGAAGAAGAGGAGGAGGAAGAGGAGGAGGAAGAAGAGGAGGAGGAAGAGGAGGAGGAGGAGCAGGAGGAAGAGGAGGAGTTCATATTTTCAATCTCTTACAGTATAGTGACTATAGAGAGAACATTTCCAGAATCAGTATAATTGCTATAAAGATTCAAATAAGCTGGCTCGGGCCGGGGAGATAGCTCAGTAGAATAAGTGCTTGCCTGGCTAAGTGCAGGGACCTGAGTTCAATCCCCAGTACCAGAGGGGAGGAAAAAACTGCCTCATAAGAGGTTTTTTGTGTTTTTTAAGGCAGAACAGACAACTGTCTATACATTAGAAATATCACACAGTGTAGAAGTATTTCATCATAGGCAAATACAGAAAACAAAACCCAGTCTGAGTTGTTTCAGTATCTAGTCTGAAAACACACAGTGAAAATGCTTCTGAAATGATAGGTCTGCGGAAAAGTGCTCCAGAGGTAAATTACAGCTTTATTAAATCACAAAGAGCCTGAGGCCGTAATTACCTAACAGGTTCACAGAAGCCCACAGTCAGGATTTTAAAGAAATGTAAAGAGGCTCCTAAATGCTAGTACCACTGCAGTCCCCTCACCCTCTGTCTTAGGCTGTTTGACTTCAACTACTGAATTGGGACTTCCCAGAAGACAGGCTGGAGTCCTAACCTTCACTTCACTGGGAATGAGGCCTTTGTAGACAGGACCGGCTCAGGTGAAGTCTCCGTGGATCAGCTGAGACTTAGTCCAGTAGACTGATACCTTTACAAGCAGAGAACCCACCACTCCCAAGGCAGGCCGGAATGCCAAGAATCCAGGAACTGCTGGCAGCACCAGATAGCAAGAAGGTCTGGAATGGATGCCCCCAGAACACTTCAAAGACAGGCTAGCCCTGGAGCCACAGAGGCAGTCTTTCCTGCTAACCAGGGCAACCTGAAATAAAACAACTAGAAGCAATCTGAAGTATTTTTCTAATTCGTATGATAATATGAAAGCAGTTCTCCAATACAATTTCAAGGCAGATTTTGCAATCATTCATATCTTTTTTTTAGTAATTGATTTGCCGATGTATATCAAAATGTCTATCCATAGATTGGGAAAACATGCTTCATAGAAGTCTGTCTCACAGCAGCTGCCTTTTGAACATCTAATCCATGGCCTGAAATAGCTGGAAGTCCTACACCTCTACAACTTTCAAATCTCAGCTGCCAAGATGGTATTGGTCTTCAAATTTGATTACCACCATATAAGATTGCAATTAAAATATTAAAAACTTTTATTAAATTAAAGATGTACTATGACACCCAAGCTATCAAGTACAAATGGACATCTAAGTTTGACATCAAAACTCATTAAGATTCTAAACTGACTGTGCAAAAACAGGAATAGTAAAATGGCCAACAGCACAGGTCAGTCACCAAGGCGGGATGTTTCAAGAGTCTGCAAAGCACACGCAGTCCTGGGGTGCAGGAGCAGACACCTCTTGACACCACAACAGGGTCCTTCATCCTGACAAAAGGACAGAGCTGAACACCTGCAGTTTATTTTATAAATCCCAAAGGGAAATTGTATTGGTTCAATACCTAGTAATTTCTTAATTCCTCTAATTTTTTAGTTGGAAGACAGGGGTAGCAACGTCACTGGCACATAAATACTGTAAGACTTGTTTATTTTGGCTGTTAATTCATTTACCATCCTTACTCTAAATTAGAGAAATTCTAGATATTGGGGAAAAAGCTCCCAATAAATTTTACTGACAGTAAAACATAACCACTGTCATTTGCAAGTGCATACTAGTAATTCCAATCAACAACTCCATGAGAAAAACAAGAAACCCTTTACCGAGGGAACTTCCACTGACGGGTGAGATCACAGAGGACTTCTCTCTGCTCAGACTAAAGCACAAAGGAAAGCAAGGCTGCTGTGTGCACCACCACATAAACTACTGGGCGTCCAGAACCCAAGCGGGACAGGCCACCGGGCACTTGTATCCAGCCCTGCGCCGACTGCCCCTTTCTCAGTCTTCCTCTGACCACTGAGTGTGACAGTTGCTTGGACTGATGAGTAATGGACACTGACACAACGGCAGGACTGAAGGGTGGCACACTTGTTAACTGCAAGAACACTTACATGGTGTAAAAGCAGTCACCACACAGCAAGGGTCTTACGGCCCACC